GTTTAAAGGGCAATGTAAGCTACTTGCAAAAAAACTTTAAAAGCGGGGAAACTTTTTTTTTTTTTTTTTAAAAATAACTTTTTTTTTTTTTTTTTTTTTTGTCCTTTTTGAGACCGGCCGCACCGCGCCCAGCCAGTGAGCGCACCGGTCATCCCTATATAGGGTCCGAACCCGCGGCGGGAGCACTGCTGCGCTACAGCGCCGTACTCTCCCGAGTGCGCCGCGGGCTCGGCCCTTCTGTAAATATAACTTCTAACACAATTTCTAAAAATATAGCTTTATACACCTTATAACAAAGAAACATTTCACCTTATAACAAACATACACGTTATAACAAAGAAACATTTCAATAATAATTTTAGAGAGACTTATTTTTCATTGCCAATTTTGGGAGGCAATCATAAACTTTTATCAAAAAAATTAAAGACAACTTGATAACCAATAAAAGGGAGGCAGTCACCCATTCAATGAAATAAACAGTTGTTAAAATTACATCTACAAAAACACTAAATAAAACTCTAAAATATAAGCAAAAAAAATTTTTTTTTCTGCATTAAAGAATGACCAAAGGAGAGAAAGACCTCTACAATGAAAACTATAAAACTTTAAAGAAAGTGAAGAGGACACAAATAAATGGAAAGATATCCCAAGCTCATGGACTGGATGAATTAATATTATTAAAATTGCCATTCTACCCAAAGTGATCTACAGATTTAATGCAATTTCTATCAAAATACTAATGACATTCTTCACAGAAATAGAAAAAACAATCCTAACATTCATACGGAACAGAAAAAGACTCCAAATAGCCAAAGCAATCCTGAGAACAATGGACAAAGCTGGAAGCATCACAGTACCTGACACTAGAGTGATTTACAGAATGGGAGAAAATACTTTCAGACCAGACATCTGACAGGGGTTAACATTAAGAATAAATAAGGAACTTAGCTTAGCAGCAGCAAACCAAATAACCCAATTTAGAAATGGGCAGAGGATCTTCACAGACATTTCTCAGAAGAAGACATACAAATGGCCATCAGGCATATGAAAAAAATGCAACATCACTAATCATCAGGGAAACACAAATCAAAACAACAATGATACCACCTCACTCCTGTTAGAATGGCTATTACCAAAAAGACAAAAGAAAACAAGTGTTGGTGAGGATGTGTAGAAAAGAGAACGCGTGCACACTGTCAGTGAGAGTGTAAACTAGTACAGCTATTATAGAAAACAGTATAGAGATTCCTCAAAAAAAATTTAAAATAGAACTATCATTTGATCCAGCAATCCCATTACTGGGTATATACCCAAAAGAAATAAAGTCAGTACACTGAAGAGTTATCTGAACTCCTATGTTTAAAAGAAATAAAGTCAGTACACTGAAGAGTTATCTGAACTCCTATGTTTACTGCAGCACAATTTACAATAGCCAAGACATGGAATCAACCTAAGTGTCGAACCTAAGTATCCATTTTTTTTTTTATGAAGGGATTAAAAAAACATGGTCTACACACACAATAGAGTACTACTCAGCCATAAAAAAAAAAATGAAATCCTGTCATTCATAGCCACACGGATGTGCTTGGAAGACATTTATGTTAAGTCAAGTAAGCCAGGCACAGGAAGATAAATACAATATGACCTTACTCATTAGTGGAATCTAAAAAAAAAAAAAAGGTGGTATTATAGGGGCAAGGAATACAACAATGGTTGCCAGAGACTAGGCAGGGGAGAGGTGTGGGGGTGGGGAGGAAAACAGGGAGAGGTCGGCCAACAGGTACAAAATTACAATTAGATAGGAGGAATAAATTCTGGGGTTCGTTGCACAGTAGGGTGACTATGGCTAATAGTTACGTTTTGTATACTATAGAACGGGTAGAGGAGAGACTTGTGAATGTTTTCACCACAAAGAAATGATAAATGCATGAGCTGATTGATACGTTAACTACCCTGACCCAGTTATTATACAACATAATATGTATCAAACATCAGATCATACCCCATAGGCATGTATAATTACAATGTGTCAATTAAAAAAAGAGCTAATACCCCTCCTCCCCTCCAAAAGGAAGAACAGTCTGGTTCAGGTAAGCAGGCGTATGGACAAAGGCACGCAGTAAAATGACAGAAGTCTGTTTAGGGCACCTGAGGCAAAGAGGGGATCAGCCAGTTTTCTGGAGGAGGCAGAGGGGTGTCAGGAAAGGCAACAAAGGAGAGGTGGTGCTAACGGTACATCTTTAAAAAATGAAAACGGTGTTCAGGTAGAGGCTGGAGATGTTCCGAGGGAGCAGCAGGAACACAACCTGAATTGGAGGGTGATGGCATCCCAGGGTGGCAAGTCACAATGGTTTTTAACTTCTACATTTTAAAACTTGTTTCATATGAAACAAATTAAGAATCTAGAGTCCAAACAATTTTGTCTGTATTGGTTAGTATTATTTAGGATGCATTATTAGTTTATAATTTAGATGTCATGAAAACCAAAAAGCAATGAAGCAAAAAACCTTGAGCATGTACAAAACATTATTATGCACAGGATATTGTGTTTGTATTTTAAGAAATACAAATCATAAGACAGGGACTTGCCCACCCATAATTTTTTTCTTTTTCAACAAAAAAACAGATATACAATAAACACTCAACAAGAGGCAGTAAGTGCTTCTGTGAAGCAAAGAGACTTTTCCCAAAACAAGACTTCCAATTAGTGAATACACAAGCTGGAGACCTACTACCTTCATCCCCATAAGTCACTTTAAGAACTTGCCATGGGACCAACCATGCTTAGCCCTAGGGACATGCCATCAGAGGGCAGTGCAGAT